TATGGATTACTCTTTGGGAGAGCTTTTGTCACATTAACTTATAGGGACGACAAAAAAAAAAGAACAGAAATAATCATGGTTTACATACACGAACATGATTTCTTATCTCATCTCATGATTTATGCCATAGTTCTGGGGCTATACATTGTTTGTAATTAATTGGTAATGTTTTTTAACTGTTAATGATTTCTTTGTACTACTGGAACATTCTAGTCAGGCCTCGGGGCATTTTTGGGTCTAGACACCATAAATTAATTTCTTAACCCCACTTTCTGTAAGACTGTGTGTTGTTGGAATTTAGTACATGGATGAACTGATATGTGAGGCAGGAAATAGTTGAAAGCTGAGAAAGGGGAGATAACAATACTAATAATGTCTCCTAATACAGTGACTGTTCGTCCTTTTTTTTTTTCAGAATTGTGTTTCTACATAGAAACTAATTCAACAAGGTGTTTTTTTTTCAATTAGATTATGGTTATAGCTACTTTAAAGAAAAAAGAAATCACATTACTTGTGTAACTACAGCTAGACAATAATGAATCACATTATTATCTGCCCTCATTTTTCTTAGTCACAAAGAGTGTATAATATGTTGACATTTAATTCTAGTGGGAGGTGTCCTTGCCCATGGCAGGGGTGTTGAAACTAGGTGATCTTTAAGGTCCCTTCCGAACTAAACCATTCTATGATACGATTCTATGATTTTTATCTAGCAATTTTGGCAAGGGAACTGGAACTATGAGAGCTTGAGGCTTTCTTCTGTTTTGGGAGTTCTTTTTATGCAATTATGAACTGAGAGATCATGAATTAGCCAAGCGTTGGTCAGTCTGGAAGGTGCAGTAGGTGGAAGGAACATTTGGGGTTAGACAAACTGACACAAAGAGGCAAAAACCATCCTGTTAATGAGGTGTGTGTCACTCTTCATATAGTACTTACTAACAGCTATGGGACATGATTGTCAGAATAAATAAGGAAAGATGATGTAGATTTTTGCAGCTAGCAGCTTATTGTTGGATTTTCTTTGAGTTATAAAGTGGGATAAACAGTGTGAAAGACAGTAGGCTTTTGGTAAATTTCATGTGTTTTCTATCCAGTGGATCCTCACTGATCAAGCAGAGTAAGAATGCATTCGACATTGCCCATGCAGCATATAGCTCATGTTCTAAAAGATTTTGCTTAATCATAGAACCACACACATATACATCTGAGCAGTAGAAAGCACCAAAGCTGTAATTTAAGTGGTGATTAAATGTTTCACATCAAATAACAACTATTTCAAGCCTCCTTCCAGTGTTCAAAATCTTCCTTTTCTTAAGTAGAAGAAAAGAGCAGCAATGTGGACTCATCTTGAAAGTTAAACCAAACCTCAGCCATTTTCCAAATTGCAGAAAGGAATAAACATTTATAGTTTCCTAAAGAATATACTGGCTACTTTTGTTTTGGGATAGAAAGCATGAATCACAAGTTGTTTTCAAGACTAAAAAGCTTTACACATTAATGTAGTGTAAGACCATGTTTTTTTCTTTAGCTGGAGATCTTTCCACCTTCTGACTGATACTTAGCAGTTCTTCAGTTTATATGGTTAATAGTTTAATACAGGATCTTTCACTGCTGGTCTGAGTCATATCCCTACAGTTGATAGTAATGTCTCCAGTGGTTTCAATGGGAGTAAGCTAAAGCCAGTGCAAATGTAACGGAAATGTCTGTTAAGAATTTATATATAAAACCAAGAAAATTCCCAGTATGCTGTTTAAAGACAATTAACTTGAATTTGTTAAATACCATCTTACCACATCTTGACATCATCCTTTAAAATTCAGACTGGTAGTAAATGATGTTATGCCATTAGGACAAAATAAAACTGAATTGCCAGTTATTTGCCAGATGCAAAGCACCTTGACTTCAAATTAAGATATTTTTAGAAGAGATTTCTTCAGATGGTGAGGGAAGGTAGAAGCAATTTTTGATGTAACCAGAGCTGAATACCACTAAAGACAGTAAATAAATACTTCTTTTTTAAAAAAAAAAAAAAGATATTGCCCAGTTACTGATTGTTACTCTATGTATCCAGGTGCCCTCAGGAATTCCAAAGCATCCCTGTAAGTTTCATCAACAGGCATGGCTTATCATCTTAATAAAAGGAGCAGATGTCAAATTTTCATGCCCCTAAGATGTTTACTCATACCTAGTAGATCCATCTGGTATAGATCGAGCCTCAGTCAAGTTGTTCTCATCCATGACCTTCCTACTGAGAAAGCAAATCAAGCAGAGCTCCTCAGTCCAATGAAAAAGAAACTTGAATATTATCAACATATTTGTAGTACCACAACCCACTTCACTTCGCTGTCTTTCTTAATTGCTTTACACAGGTGAGAAGGCTGGTAAAATGGAAGGAAACATTATAATTGGGATAGAATTCATGGAGCATGCCACCACTATCTGAGACTTTCCAAAGGGGTAACAACTGAAATATTTGTCAGTTCAGCAAAAATAGATGATTTAAGACAGAGAAACAAAATTTTAATATAAAAAACCTGCTGATAATACAAGATGTTGACAACTGGAATTAACCTCAGTTGTTCACATTTTGTGAGCTTAAGGATATATATTATAATGTTTTTCTTTTGTGGCTGTTAATCTAGATCAAAGATATAAAAGAAAATGCTAGGCTTCAGAACTGGTGGGATCCTTGCATTGGAACTCTATGAAAATTCCATATCCAACTGTTTACATTAACTGGAGGCTTTAAGATACTGTGGCTTGGGTAGGGACCTAGGCTGAGCTTTGACATCTCTCATGTTACAAGCCTTTAAATAACTTCAATGCAAACTAACCTGTCTTAATTTTTAACTCTTTCACCTGATACAGAAAGGTCTGAAGCATGATGGACCTGTCAGGAAATGATTGCTCTGCGTAACAGCTATGTCTCTGGTAACCAGATGTGTTAATGACAAATGCTTCAGTCCTGCCTTGGAGAGATTTATTTTCTTTTTATAGTATGTCTTCATTAGCGAGTTATCAGACTGTATTCTAGAAAGCTGGCACATGAAAGGCTTTTATGTTTGTGGAAAGTTTTATGACAATATGATGGGGCAACGTAAATCTTCCACTGAAGATTGTTACCGTAGAAAGATCCAGTTAATATCCCTGCAGCTCAAACTGTATAAGTAGTTTTAGTATGTTTTATTTTTCTCAAATAATAGAATTTCATGTTGATTTCCTCTCCCTCTCATCTGTCCTTTCACAGTCTTAGGTTGGTTGCAGGGTGGTCTAGGAGACTGGAGTGCAGCAATTGTCCTGTGTAATATATGTTTCTTGTGGCATACAGTTCTTAGCAAACTGGAAAAAGCTCCTAAGAAAACTGGAAGAAATAAATTGTATCTGTTGTAACTGCATTAAAAGGCTCTTTTCTCAGGAATATAATTTTGGTGTTGCAGGGCCAAAGGCTCCCAACTAGGATCAGTTTAGCAGGCATGTTAAATTTCAAATAGAAAGGGAAAGACTCACCCACCAATCTATGTGCTCCTTCACTTGATGCCTGTTTTTCATCCATTGTCAACACAACATTGTCATTGCAGCCTTTGCTGTTGCGGGAGCTGTTGCAGTTCCTTAAACCAGGATAGGAATAAAAATGTGGTTTGCAGACAAATATGAGCAGGGTTTACAGGTCTGGGAGCTGGGGTAAGAGAGTAGGACTGAGCTGGTCAGGAGAAGGGGTTCTCGACTTCCTCTTTGTTACATGATACAATTAAGAGGAGGATATTCATTATGTGATGTGATATGCGGTATCTGACCAGTACGCAACTGGCATCCACCAGTCTTTATTATTGGCTTAATGTGGCAGTCTTGTGTGTTGGCCTCCTGCAGAAGTGAGAGCTGGTTGGGAAGGGACAGGCCGAGGGCCAAACCAATAGCAGCGATGGAGAGAAGAGTGTTAACTTTCACGGTGTGATTTGTTGTTGGGTTGTGCTTTAGAGATGAGACAATAAAGTTGTGGGCTAATTAAACTGTACCCATTACATCTTGTTTGTCTTTCTGTAATGTCTACAATGAAGGCAGATGTATGGAAAGACTGTAGCAATTAAAATACATCTGGGAAATAAGACTTCTTGAAATGCTGCTTTAACTTTTGTGGTGAAAGCTTTTTTTTTTTTATGTGGCTGACATGTTTCTTTGAATTAGTGCTTTCTGAGTGTATGTTAACAGTATTGTGCTGTTTTTTTTATTCAGGTTGCAGATAGGCTGTTCTGTTTATGAGTCCAAGGGTCATTTTAATTTGGACGGTTCTTTAATTACTGAATGACCATGGAACCCTTTTGCAAATGTTTTTAGGAAATCCTAGGTCTGGTAAGGTGCGCTTCAGTCACTGAGCCAGGTCTTCCATGGAAAAAGGAAAAAATCCCCGAAGACTGGTTTAAACAAGTGTTAAAGCTGCAAGGACTGTGTTAATTTTGACACTTGAGAGCTTTGCTATGCAATTCAATAATTCTTCTAACATAGGACTTTTGTATAGAAAACTTTATTTATAAATACGAGTGGGTCTGGGGAACTACCAATGTATAATTATAGTCAAATTTTAGACTGCATGTTTCATCTGTAGCATCATTATTTGGGCTGTTTTTTACTGCAGAGATTACACTTTTCTACATGCATTTACTGCATAGAATTTATTCATTTGTTTGTTTGTTTTTCTTTTAAAGGGAAATGAAAATATATGTATCCATCAGCTTGTGGTGGATATGGCTGCTACTACTGCTTGAAATATTTATCTTGTAAACTAATAACACATGCCAAACAGAAAGGAAGTACATCCTGAAATTTATCATGTGAATTTCTTGCAATTATATTGGAAATAATTAGTATGTTAAGTAAAAGAGTGTGAGCATAAAATTTGTTGGTGCCTGATATTCGCATCAGTCTTTAGCAGTGGAACTAGCTGTTCCCTGGACACCCAGCCTCAGGAGCTAGGAGACAGGGAGGGGACGCAGAATGAGAGCATCATGATTAAAGAGAAAGAGATCAGTGACCTGCTATGCCGCTTGGATGCACACAAGTCTATGGGACCGGATGGGCTACACCCAAAAGTGCTGAAAGAGTTGGCAGATGTGCTCGCCAAACCGCTTTCCATCATTTACAGGAAGTCATGGCTAACTGGGGAGGTCCCAGTGGACTGGAGGGTGGCAAATGTAACACCCATCTACAAGAAAGGCAAAAAGGAGGATCCAGGTAACTATCGACCTGTCAGTCTAACCTCGATACCAGGGAAGGTCATGGAGCAGGTCATCTTGAGTGCCATCAAAACCCACATAATGGGCAACCAGGGGATCAGGCCTAGTCAGCATGGGTTTATGGAAGGCAGGTCCTGCCAGACGAACCTGATCTCCTTCTATGACAAGATAACCAGATTATTAGATGAGGGAAAGGCTGTTGATATTGTATACCTGGACTTTCGAAAAGCATTGGATACTGTCCCCCATACAATTCTTGTGGAAAAACTGGCTTCACATGGCCTGGATGAGCATACAATCTGCTGGATCAAGCACTGGCTGACTGGAAGGTCCCAAAGAGTGGTGCTCAATGGATTTAAATCCAGCTGGCGGCCGGTCACAAGTGGTGTCCCTCAGGCTCAGTGTTGGGACCATTTCTGTTTAACATCTTTATTGATGATCTCGATAAGGACATAGGGTGTATCATCAGCAAGTTCGCAGATGACACCAAGTTAAGCAGGAGTGTTGATTCGCAGGAGGATAGGGAAGCTCTACAGAGAGACTTAGATAGATTGGATCATTGGGCCAACATCAATGGTATGAATTTCAACAAGGGCAAGTGTCAGGTCCTGCACTTGGGCCACAATAACTTCATGCAGCGCTACAGGCTTGGGGAAGTGTGGCTGGAAAGCTGCCTGGCAGAAAGAGACCTGGGGGTTTTAATTGACAAGTGGCTGAATATGAGCCAGCAGTGTGCCCAGGTGGCCAAGAAAGCCAACGGCATCCTGGCTTGTATTAGAAATAGCGTGGCCAGCAGAAGTAGGGAATAGGGTAGATGGTTGGACTTGATGATACCAAGGGTCTCTTCCAACCTAGACAATTCTATGATTCTATAATAACATGGGTACAGGTTTAAGGGCAGGTGTGTATACATACTCTTGCCAATGATGCAAGTATAGGATATAATGATGTCCCTCCCATATACACCTGAACAAAACAGGAGAAAATACAGTAAAACATCACATGGCCAGTATGTAGTACAATGCATTTAGCAGTTTTGTAATCAGAAATGAGTCCATGACAATGCAACCTGCATGAAGTATCCCGTGTTCATATAGTTTATAGCTAGACTATTATAATGGACATTTTAGATGATCTAAAAATGTATGGTTATTATTATTTGGGTGTTTTGGTTTTTTGTTTTGGGTTTTTTGTTTAATACTTAGTTTCTTAAGGACATGAGACACCAGAACCCCAAACATTTTGCAAGTCCAGAAAGGAACACTGCCCTGAATGGCCCTGAACCAGTGTGGCTTCTGAGGAAAATCTAGTTTAGTAGGAAGCACTGAAATACTGCTCTCGTGTGTTTGTGGGAGATGTTAGAAGCATCTGAGGTGCATGTACATTAGCGTTTTACCGTGGATCAGAATTTGCTTTTGGAGTGAGTCTCCTAAGCATCGTGATCATCTTTTGTTTCACATCATGGACCAGTCTGAGAGTTCATGCGGTGGATTTCTTCTGGATGAACATAACTGGAAGAGATGATCCAAGGGAACCTAATGTGCTTTAGTGACTAATGGCCATTGTGTCTGTGGGACCAGACTAGAACTATTTGAAGGAAAATGGAAAGGGGAATGTGGCGTATGTGTAGTGCAGACATCAAGTCCCTCAATGCCAGTTGTTTTGCTCAACAGATGTATTCTTGTGGTTCACATGACTTCCTAGTGTGAACACGCCCTGGGGTGTTTGTAGCTGATTCTGGAACGATCAGCTGGTAGGCAGTGCAGGCAAGCGCAGGCAAATGCAGCCTGTGGTACATGTACCACATCACATGCTGTTGGGAATCACTCAACTAACCAATAATCTTATAATTATATAGAATAGTAATATGGACTATAATTTTCAGTTATAAAGTCAAATCAGCATTAAAAGGAGCATGCATGCATTTCTGAAACTTGGAATATTACTGTTTTTTGGTAAATCGGTTGTTTTTTTCAAGTATACTACAGTAGGTAATGTATGTCTACATTTATATTGTATTTTGCATAAGTAAACATTACATTTTTAGAATGTATTTTGTTCTTTTTGGTGTTAATTTCCCAGTGGGCTACATTTCTGTCACATCATTGAGCCAACATATAGTTTTGTCTCATTATTTCTTTTGTATTTCTTTGTATAGGAAATCTACTTTATGATGTGATAAAAAAGGCACATTAGGTTCTTGGAAGTGTGTGTGCTTTGAAATAGGGCCTACAAACAAATAGTTGACAAGTCATCTTTTGCTTCCCATATTAATGCTATTAGACTAGTTTTTGTTCACTTCTACCCAAATAAATGTGTGCAGGATTTGGCCCGAAGTATGTGCCTTAGTGTAAGATTCCATATTTAATTTTAATATCTTCAAGTTAGTGTCAGTGTATTTAATTCCTCCTGTTGCTTAGTGAAGTGAAGTTAATTTTATCTGGATCCTTTTACAGATTGATAGAAGCTTCTGCTAAGTAGAATAAGACCTCAGTTGAGATCAGTCTTCGAAGTGGTAAGAGTGAAGTCTGTGAAACCACAAGAAGGCAGTCATAACTCACAAGTGTGGTGGAGACACAAGGATTCCTGTGGCTCGTTTATTTTTACAGCTTGTGTTTATCTAGTAGTTTTTTATGCGTTTGAGAAAACACTGCTGTAAAAAGGGAAAAGGTATTCCATAATTGAGATGAAAATTTGATCCAAGCAATACATAGTCTATATTTTCAAAACTACTGATTTCTTACTGTTTCATTGGCAATGACCTTTGGATTTTGATGACTGTCTTTCTAGAAACCTACTAATGATGACAGACAGAGAATGAATACCGTTGTGTCTCACAATTTAGGTGATGGTTGCTGATTTTACTTAATTTGTTTTGTAATTACTCTGATCTCAGTGTTTTAATTTTGGTGCATGTAAAGTTGTGGCTTTAAATATTTTAGTGTAAACTCTAATGAAAACAGTCTGTAATAGAAACAAAGGTTGAAGATGACTTTGCATGAACTGTTTAGGAAATATCAATGAAAGCTTTAGGTCAATACAGTTCTTTTTGTAGCCATTCATCTACAGGAGGACCCACCATATCATTGTGATAGGAGTTAGCCCATTACAGGTGGTGGCAGCAATAGTGTAAATCCAAAAGCAAACATGACTAAGACTTTCTAAAAATTATTTGTGATAACCATTTTCTGGTGTTAAATCCAGATGTTTAAAATTAGATTGCAGTGTTAGTCTAGCTGTTACCCATGATAATTTATTTTTGGTTTATATTTACAAACTGCAGTTATGTCACCAGAATGAATTGTTAGGCTGATCAGTTTTATAACTGTTTTTTGCATTTGGTCACCTCTTTAACTTAATTACTTTGGGTTAACCAGTAACCAACATTTACTTTTCTACAGTTTAAATATCTGTGGTGTAGAAAATGGCTTCTACTAAGGAGGATGTACATTTGATTTAGCTGTGAGGGATCACAGTGCCTAGTTACAGTAACAGAACAACTCCGGGTGTATGTACCAAAATGCGTTCTTCCCATCAACTTCCTTTTCAAAATACTGTTGCTCAGTTACTTATTATTTTTTTTTTATAAAAATAGTTGTATGTACTTGTAAGATGGCAGAGGAAGTATATGTACGTAGTTAAGTTTAATGCTGTATTTCTACCTAAGTTTTTATAAAACACACTCATCATAAAGTTAGCCAAGTGCCTGATGGTAATATATTAAACAATGTTCTCTTACCTTTTCTCATGTCAGAGTCTTATGCAGTGATTTTTTTGATTGGTTTTGTAGGTTTTGTAAGTTTTGTTGTTTTACCTGGTTTGGGTGATTTTTATTTGGTTTTGTTGTTGAAATTTTGCTTTGTGCTCTTGTTAACTAGAGCGAAGTCCAAGGACATTTCTTATACATCAGGAAAAAATGAAGATGTTGTTATAGACCCCAAAGCACAGTCTCCTTCTGTTAGGCTCAGCGAGGGCTGGCTGCTCCCAGGGGATGGAGAGCTGGGGGCAAAGGGTGATGCCATCTCAGGCCATGGCCTCTCCGAGGGGAGCAGCCCCACAGGGCGGGCAGAGCTGGGTGTTGGTAACAGTGTTATCAACAGCCCCAGGCATGGTAAGTGACGAGCCAGGCTCAGGGGCAGCCAGGGGCAACAGTGGGATGAGAGGGTTGATGGTGTGCTGGTTGAAGAATTGGCTGAAGGGCAGGGCTCAAAGCGTTGCAGTGGATGAGGCTACATCTGGCTGGTGACCAGTGGTGTTCCTCAGGGTTCAATTCTAGAGCCAGTCCTGTTCAATATATTTATCAATGAGCTGGATGCAGGAGTTGAATGCACCATTAGCAAGTTTGACCAAACTGGGAGGTTCTGTTAACTCTCTTGAGGGACAGGATGCCTTGCAGAGGGATCTAGATAGATTGAAGCATTGGGTAATGATTAAAGGGATGAAATTTGACAAGTAGAAATGCCAGATTCTGCACCTAGGATAGAGTAATGCTGGGCACAAGTATAAATTGGGAGAGGAGTGGCTGAAGAGCAGAAAGGGATCTGGGTGTGCTGGTCAACAGCAAGCTCAATAGAAGTCAGCAGTGTGCCCTGGCAGCCAAGAGGGCAAACCACATCCTGGGGTGCATCAAACACTGTATGACCAGCAGCTCAAGAGAGGTGATTATCCCGCTGTATTCAGTGTTGGTGTGGCCTCACCTTGAGTATTATGTGCAGTTCTGGGCCCCACAATTTAAGAAGGATGTTCAGGTCGTTGAATGCATCCAGAGGAGGTCAACAAAGCTGGTGAAAGGGCTGGAAGGAATGTCCTACGATGAGGACTTTGGGTTTGTCTACTTTGGAGAGAAGGAGGCTGAGGGGTAACTTTGTTGCTCTCTACAGCTTCCTGAGGAGGGGAAGTGGAGAGGGAGGTGCTGAGCTCTTCTCCCTGGGATCGAGTAACAGGATGCAAGGGAATGGTCCAAAGCTGCCCCAGGGGACGTTTAGACTGGACATCAGGAAGCATTTCTTTACTGAGAGTGTGGTCAAACACTGGAACAGGTTTCTTATTGGGGCGGACGATGCCCCAAGCCTGTCAGTGTTTAAAAGGCATTTGGAGTTAAATGTTATGTTAAAGCATAACACTTTAACTTTTGGTTAGCCCTGAATTGTTCAGGCAGTTGGACTGGGTGATTGTTGTAGGTTCCTTCCAACTGTTGTATTCTGTTCTGTTGTATTCTGTTCTGTTGTATTCATCTGAGGAACAGGATGCCATCCAGCAGGACCTGGACAGGAGGGCCCATGTGAACCTCATGAGGGTCAACAAGGCCAAGTGCAGGGTCCTGCACCTGGGTTGGGGCAGCCCCTGGTATCAATACCAGGTGGGGGATGAAGCGATTGAGAGCAGCCATGTTGAGAAGGACTTGGGGGTACTGGTGGATGAAAAGCTGGACAGGAGCCAACAATGTGCACTTGCAGCCCAGAAAGCCAACTGCAACCTGGGCCACATCAAAAGAAGTGTGGCCAGCAGGTCAAGGGAGGTGATTCTGCCCCTTTACTCTGCTCTGTTGAGACCTCACCTGGAGTACTGTGTCCAGCTCTGGAGCCCTTAACATAAGAAAGACATGGACCTGTTGGAGCGGGTCCAGAGGAGGGCCACAAAAATGATGAGAGGGCTGGAGCACCTGTCCTATGAAGACAGGATGAGAAGTTGGGGTTATTCAGCCTGGTGATGAGAAGGCTCTGGGGAGACCTTATTGTGCCCTTTCAGTACTTAAAGGGGGCTTATAAGAAAGGGGACAAACTTTTTATCAGGGCCTGCTGCGATAGGACAAGAGGTAATAATTTTAAGCTAAAAGAGGGTATATTTAGACTAGATATAAGGGAGAAATTTTTTTCAATGAAGGTGGTGAAAAAAATGGAACAGGTTTCCCAGAGAGGTGGTAGATGCCCCATCCCTGGAAGTGTTTAAGGCCGGGTTGGATGGAGCTCTGAGTAACCTGATCTAGTTGAAGATATCCCCGCTCATTCCAGCGGAGTTGGACTAGATGACGTTTAAAGGTCCCTCCAAACCCAAACCATTCTATGATTCTATTCTAAAAGGGGATAAGGACTCAGCAAGGGGTCCCAGGTCAAGCCAGGAGATGGGGCCAGAGACAAGCTACAGGGTACACCCAGGAGATGAGTTGCCTACAGCTTAGGTGAGATGTCCATCCAGGAAGCAGGGTCAGAGACAGGCACAGCTACAGTATAGCTCGTGGAAGGGCTGATGGCCCCAGCCAGGCTGAAATGGGACTTTTGGGCCTATGGGCAGGAGGTGAGGGTAGAAGCCCCAGGTGAGGCGGGTCAGGGCTATTAAGCATTCAGGGCCCTGATATCTGCACACACAACACTGAAACATGCAACAAAGGTGAAAATATCAGCTAGCTTCTCTGGAGGAATCAAAACTATAAACTGAAAGTTGTTTTGAAAAAGCAACAATGAATAACATTGAAGATATTATAATACTGTATAAATCATGCCATGACTGATTTTGAACCTTGCATGCTATTGCTGTCCTTCCATCTCAAAAAGGTATAGTAGAAGTAGGAAAATAACAAAGAGTAACAAGAAAGACCAAAAATGTGGAACAAGCCATTAGCTGTTCATCTAATTCTTACACTTTTGCTTCAGGAACCATTTTTTGTCACTCTTGAATATGTGACATTGTGCTGTCTGGAATTTGGTTCAGTTCTCTCTGAATGTTATAAAATACTCAGATATGAATAGTTAGGTTTTGTGATAAAAGCTCATCTGCAGACCCATCAAAGAGCTCAGAGAAGCAATGGCAGCTGGGGGATCCCAAATCACACCCTGGTTGGCTGTTCCCAGGCCCATCAGCCCATCAGGGGCCCATGTCCACAAAGCCGGGGGAGCACGCAGTCCTGAAGGCAGATGGGAGCCCAGATAAAGGACTCGGAGGGAGGGACGGCCTGTCCCAGGAGAACCTCAGCCCCACTGTCCAGCTATCAGAACCATCAAGGTGAATCAATGCCAGACCACATTTTGGACTGAGGGGAGATGCTCCCTGGGGTATGGGTCTCATTATGGGGTCCGCAGGGGAAGAGCATTCTGGGATTGCACAGGAAGACTTATGGGGAAATAGAGGGATAAGGAGATAAAAAGTGCTGGATGTATGTAAATAGCTGATATACTTGTCTGGCCATGCCCTGCTCCTGACCAACGCAGTCTGTCCTATCATTACATTCCACTTCTAACTCTTTTCCTGCCTAAGGGACATCTGTTCTGTGTGTGTGTGTGTGGGAGCCTGAGTGCCAGCAACTGGAGTCAGACCACAGGGCAGAGGCCTGTGTGTCCATGGTGCCAGTGACTGGAGCGAGTGAGTGTCTGGGTGCTGGCCGCTGGGCTGGGACCACAGGCTGAAGTGCCAGTGTGCTAAGAGGCAGCGGCTGGAGGGAACGGAGTGAGTGAAACTAAATGCCAGCCCCTGGTGCAAGACTGTGGGTTACAGGGGCCTGGTCCATGTGTCTGTGGTGGCAGTGGGTGGTCCAAGGGCAGGCAAGTGTATGAACACTAGTGAAGAGCCAGCTGAATGAACCTGTGGGTAGGTGAGGTGGCCTGGGAGCTGGGCATGACTGTGTGCCTCCAGGGGCGAGAGGACAGCAGGTTGGCTACTGCAAGAACCTGGAGAGTCCTGACCAGCTCTCTGTGTGTTACGGTGTGTCTCCTAGGACAAAACCACAGGCAAGTTGGCTACTGGGGGCTGTAGTAAACTCCCAACTACAGAGGGGTTGACTACTGGAGTCCCAGTCAGCTCTGTCTGTGTGTGTGGCAAGCTGTACCAGCAGCTGGAGTGGGGCTGTGTTTGTGGGAGCTTGTATGTCCAGGTGCCATTGCCTGGGGAGACTGGAATCCAGTGGCAGCTACTGGGCAGACTTGAATTTTCTGTAGTATATGACAGTGTTTTGTATTGATTGGAACTTCCTAGTAGTATTTAGGGTTGTCACATAGTTTAATATAGCTTAGAGGTGATGACAGCATAATTAACCAAGGTCTGCTCATTTTCTATCAGGATGAGATGAAGTATCCCAATCAAGGGATTATAATGGAAACTGCAACTCTGCATGCAAACACCATTCCTGTATATCTAAGTGCCAGAAATGGTCCTGCTCAATAACATTCAATTTAAGATTTTTTTGATGCTCACTTTAATTTCATTCCTTGTTAGAACCATTATAAGGCAGCAGAAATTCTTTACTAAGGAATTAATTTTTCCTTAAGAGATAATTTACAATGAAATAAGACACTTTAACAAAGGAACAAAATGTGCACATTTCAATTGTTTGTATGTCCTTCCTACCTTCCCTGGTTACAAGCCAAGGAACCAGAATATTTCTGGGATTCTCTTGTATTTTATGGGTGGTTTCATTTCATACTGATCTTCCTCTATCCATGGCTTCTCCAGTGGATGGTCTTCAAACTTGCCATAGTTTTGACGAGCAAGTAGAAGTGAAGACCCTAAAAATATATTTGCATAAGTTGTCCTTGAAGGAGCAGTTTTACTTCCCAGAGGTGGACCTTGTCATTGGGCTTTATGACCTTGCTTGTTCACTGTTTCTGAGTCCATATAGCTCCTGTTCATTTCTACAGAGTGGTTCAGTTTTGCCTGTTGCTAAGAGTAATTTCAAAGTGTGTAAGGGCTTAAATTTGCTCTAGTGAAAGACCTCTGGGGCAGGTGTTCCAGCTGTTGTATAAAACAGCTTTTCATTTTTCTGCTGTGTTTTCCAGGAAGAATGTGTGTCAGTTGTTGGTATGCAAAAGGATAACTAAATACCAGAGCCCAGGAGAGGTGGGACTCTGGTTCCCCTGTCCTTACATCTGCTGCAAATTCATGTATAATCTCAAGAGAAAGACTTTGAGAATATTTTTTTTTTTCTCATTTCCTGTCTTCTGGATTTGGTATCTCTCCCCACTAAGTGTACAGGCTTTTCTGAAATTTATTCCTAGGTGCATGGTTTGGTAGTTAGAAACCTTGCTTGAATTAGTTAATTCCATTCTGCTCCGTAATTCCACACTTTAGAGTCGGGCCTGGGGACACACAGAGCTACCATAGGTAGGTCCTTATATTAATTTGTGTCTTAGTACACAGTCAGGAAATGTATGTCAGGCACAGTATAAATTATATTTTACCATTACGTATAATTTCACGCTGTTGAGACTTTTGAAAGGTTAAGGAAAATGTTGGGAACCTGTCTCTTTAAATTCATCATTGCAGCAGCTATTGATTTGTCTACTCAAATGCTCTGTTTCACGTCAGTGGATACTGTTATTTGAAGGGCTTATTTCTATGCTTTTTTGTTATTTTGAAAGAATCAGTGAGGTCGTCTGGAGAGGTCACTTCTGAGAGATAGCAGTTTCACTCAAAAATGAATTGGAGATTGGACAGGGGAGAAAGACATCCCAAACTGATAATAGGTATACAGGTATTGTTATAGCAGATTAAATGACTAGTTAATTTTTCACAGCTGATCTCTGGGATTTCAAAAGAAGGCTTGTATCTCCTAATGTAATTATGGACAGAGATGCAAATGAAGGAAATTCTTTATTTTTGCCATAGCTCCAATGAAAGACCAGTTTTTACTTGCTTGTGAAGGTTATTTTTTTTTTTTTTCCCTGGGGCGCGTTGTAGATAGATGAAGATTGATTCTTCATTGCCTCTCTACATGCATTTTTTCTTACAAGAGATGCTGCACAACTTTTTTCAAGGCATAAGAGGACACAGAACACAGATGTTTCTGTCTTAACTGTTTAGGCCCAAGGACATTTGTGGTTTATCAGAGGAATGCAAGCAAGCACATATACTTGCTGAAATGAAGCCTAGTAAGACAGATTAGAAATGCCAATTTATCAGTTTCATTGAAAATACTTGTAGCTTGTATTTTCATGAAAAGTTTGAATCAAATCTTGTAATATTTGTCTGATGATTTTTTTTTCCTCTCCTGTCTTTTGTTTTGTAAACTTTTGCTTTCATGTCAAACAATCCTGGTCTTTAAAGGTCTGATCCTGTTTGTCTACAGTTTCCTTTCTGGCAGAGTGTGAAAGTGTGTGGGGCTCAGGCAGTGGCCTGAGTTCCTGTTGTCTCCATCTACTATGTGATGTTGGAGACTGTTTTAGTCTTGTCTGCCTGACATCTTTCATATGACTGTTAGTGCTGAGCAGACAGAATATTTGGAGTTTGCCCCATTGAGCATGGTTTCTTCTCTTCAGTATACAGATTAAGATACTTTAAGGTTCCTCTGAAGGTGCACTGGTGGAAGGCTTATAGCTGGGCAGAAACAGAAGTATTTAACTCTTCCTTGAGGCTGCACAGCAGAGTTGAGCCACCACTGAAGACAAAGTCAAAACTCTTGTTGGCATATCAGATCAGGATTGGGTTTGAAGAAAGACAAACGTGAGGGAACTGAGGATGTGATCTGGGAACATGTAAAATGCTACAGATAAAACACAGATTTCTTATAGTTTGAAATTACATTTTCATCCAGGTACACTAGATTAAAAGCTGAAAAAAAAAAAAATCACAGCTGAACGTTTGTGTAACTTAGATTAACCATTTGCTAAGATGCAGAGTGGAGGAAAAAAGTGTTCATTTA